CAAAAAAAAAAAACCCACAAAAATAAAGGAACCCTCCCACCCCCGAGGGCCTGGCCCTGCAGCGGCCACAGGAGGGTAGTGCCAAGGAGAACAGAGTCAAGCAGTGCCGGGGGGCTGGGCCCCACCAGGCGCTCTCAGGGACAGGGGGTGAAGCGCCCGGCCCCCCCCCGGCCAGGTTTTTTGGCATGGGAAGAGGAAACGTTGGGAAATATTGCTTGGGGGAGCGCCCCCGCCCCTGCCTGCCCTCCACAGGCTTCCTCTTTTCCCCACCCTGGGCATAAAAACAACCGTGGGATGGGCGAGAAAAAACTAGGACAGACCCCTCAACGAAAATAAAAAATAAAATAAAAAATCCCCGGGGAAACATTTTAAAAAACTGAGAATGGCTAAAATGGTGAGTGCAGAGAGGCCAGCGAGCACCAGGGCCCCCCCGCGCGCCCCTTCCTCCTTCCCCCGCTGAGAGGAGCGCGGAGGCTCAAAAAGGAAGGAGAATTGGGGGGGGCTGAAAGCACCTGGGCCTGGGGGAGCCCCTGCAGCCGTAGGTCCATCCGCCCCCTCCGCAGGGATGCGGAGCCTGCGCCGGCCCCATGGCCCCTCATGGAGCTGGGGGGCAGGAGCAGCAGCGGCGCCGGGCGGCTCCTGCCGCGCCCTGCGTGACATATAGCGTTTCTTCTCTCTTCTCTTTTTTAATATTTATATTTATATATATAGATATTTATATATACACACACCTGGTAACTCGGAAAGAGGAAAAAAAATAGAATCCGTAACAATAATAAAAAAAAGTATTCTGCTTTTAAAAACAATCCGGTCCTACCACGCTAGGCGAGCGGCTGATTGCACAAGGCCCACAGCGGCCGGCCCGGGCGCCACGGGGCCGGCGGCGGCCGGAGTCTCTCCGAGGGGCGGAGCGGCCTCCCCCTGGTCGCAGCCCCGGGGCTCGGGGCGCCGACCCCCCCTCGCCCGTGCGGGACCCCCCTGCGCGGGGCCCATGGGGGCCGCGGCGGTGCCCGCGGGGGCCTTTGGCTGCGAGGAGGGGAGCGGGGCGAACGGCTCGGCCCCTCACTCATACGGAGATCTCGTACGTGGTCCCCCCCACGCCGGAGACCTTCTTGACTCCTCCGCGCGTGGGGCTGCCCAGGGCGCCCAGGCTCTTGGGCTGCCCGTTGGATTTGCTGTAGGCCGCTCGCAGCTGCGCCTCGTCCCTGCGGGAGGAAGAGCACGGTGTGAGGAAGGGCGGGCGCGGGGAGCAGGGGCGGCGGGGGAGCCTCCGGCCTTACTTGGGTGGCAGCAGGGCGAGCTCCTCGGGCTCGGCGCCCTTGGCGGGCGGCT